TTGCAATTTTAATTAATTAATATTACAAACTTTTTTTATTAAGAATTAAATTCAATTTAATATAATACTGACTTTAATAAAAAATTAATAAATTTAAAATAAATTTTTGATTTTATTTTATTTATTACAATCTATTATCATTATAAAATAGATAAATTTAAATTTTTAATATTACTTCCTATTTTTAATTCCAAAGTTAATAAATTTTTTAAAAATAAATGTAATTTTATTTGATCTATTACTTTCTATTTTTAATTTGAAAATAAATACATTAAAACATAAAAAGGTCTTTTATTTAATATTACAAGCTATTATAATTAGAAATAATAAGAAGTTGAACTAAAAAAAAAATTACTTTCTGTTTTTATTTAAATTTATTATATATTTTAAATTAATAATACCCACTTTTTTAATTAAAAAATAATATATATTTAAACAATAAAACTATATTTTATTTTATATTACTATCTTTTTTAATAAAAATTGACACATTTTTATAATAAAAGTTCTATTTTATTTAATATTACATTCTATAATATTTAAAAAGTTATATATTTAAATTAAATATTATATTTTATATATAATTACATTCTATTTTATTTATATATATGATATATATAGACTAAAAATATTATTTTAATTAATATTACTAACTATTTTTAATAAATAATTTAATGAATTTGAATTATAATGCTATTTTTTTTATTAATACATACTATTTTTAATATAAATTTAAAACAAAAATGATAATATAAATAATTTTACATCCTATTATAAGTAAAAAATTAAAAGTATAATGTTATTTATGTAATTTTACTTTCTTAAAAAATTATAATTTAAAATAAAAACGTAAGAATTTTATTAATAATACTTTCTATTTTTTATTTAAATGTTTAGAAATTTTAACTAAAAATTATATTTTATTTATTATACCTATTTAAATAAAAATGATATATTTTTTTAAAAAAATATTATATTTTACTAACTATTTTTAACAAAAAATTATATTTTTTTCTAAAAATGCATTTTTTTATTTAATATTACAGACTATTGTGTAGATAAATATAAACTAAGATTTTTATTTTATATAAAATTACTATCTATTTAAAAAAAATTGATAAGATAAAATTAAAAATGCATTTTAATTCTAAATGACCTACTATTTTAATGAATATATTTATTAATTTAAACTTATATACTATTTTATTTATTATTACAAACTGTTTATATAAATAAAAACAAAATAAAGTTAAAATATAAATGATATTTTATTTAATATTACTTTCTATTTTTAATTAAAAATAATAAATTTAAACTACAAATAATATTTTATTTATTTTTACCCCCTATTTTAAATTAAAGATTTATATAAACTAAAATTTATATTATTTAATATTACAAACTATTTTTTATATAAAATTTATAATAAATTCAAACTAAAAAATCTATTTAATTTATTGTTACCGGCTATTTAAAAAAAATAAAAATTGATAAATTATAAACTTCAAATGCTATTTAATTAATATTACAATCTATTTTTATAAAAAATGTTATAAATTTAAATTTAAAATGTTATTAAGAATAATATTACTGTCTATTATAAATTAAAAAGGTAATTTGTTTAATATTACTAACTTTTTATTAATTAAATATAAATAAATTTAATAAAAAATAATATATTCCAATATTACTGCCTATTTAAATATTAAGTTTATAAAGTTTAATTAATAATTATATTTTTTTTATATTACAATCTATTTTTATTAAAATATTTGATAAATTTATACTAAAATGCATTTCATTTAAATATTACAGACTGTTTTCAATATAAAATTTATTAAATTATACTATATTATTTAAATATAACTCCCTATTTTAAATAAAAAATTAATAATTTAGACTAAAATTATTTTTTATTATATATTACGGGCTATTTATATATTTATTTGATTTAAATAAAAAACTATTTTTTCAATATTACATTCTATATTTAATAAATTTTAACTTAAGAGAATAATATTTATTTTTACTCCCTATTTTAATATAAAATTTATAAATTTATCTAAAACCTTAATTTATTAAAATTACTCCCTATTTTTAAAATTTAATTTATTTTTAATATAAATGATTATCTATATTTAAATACTTGCTTTTTTTTCAAAAATATTTTATATTTAATTATATTATTATTATTATAATTTATAACTTTCTATTTTTATTTTATTTTTTGACATTTTTTATTTTAATACGCACTTTTTATTTTGTTTTAATATTTATTTTGAATGAAAATTATTTTTACATTATAAATCTTCAGTATAATATAGTTTAATTATTTTATTATATTATTAATAATTTTAATACTCTCTATTTAATTTTTTTTAAAATTTATTTATTATTTTTACCTATTCAAAAAGGAGTTAATTTTTTTTATAATATTAATTTTACACACTATTATTTTATTTTTATTTTTAATAATAATTTTTAAAATTTACAAACTATTTTTAAAATATTTTATTTTCATATCAAACATTTATTTTTTATTCATACTAACTACAAATTATTTTTTATTTTTTTCTTGAAACTTGTTTTTTTATTACACACTATTTTTATAATAAATTATATTTTTTTATTATTTTTTATTTACAATCTTTTTATCTTATAAATTTAAATTTTTAATTAATTTATTACATCCTTATATTATTATGAAAAAAATAATATGTATTTTTATATATATATATATTATTTACGCTCTTTGAATTATTAATTTTTACATAAATATATCTAATTTTTTATTTACATACTATAAAATTAATTAATTATTTTAATTTATTAACTTATAAGTTTTTACTTGCTTTTTGTATATAAATAAAATTATTTTTAATTAATATTAAAATAAAATATTTTTTTTTATTACGCACTAAAATTAAATAGTAATTAAGCATTGATAAATAAATATATACCCCCTTTATTATATTATTTTTTAATAATATTTTATATTTTTAAAATAAAAATATAATTTACCTTAAATAATTCAAAAATGATTTTTAAAAATGAAAAATAAATAAAAAGTATTTATTACACACTATTTTTTTAAAAAAATATTATAATTGAATTAATTAATTTTATTTTATTTTATTTTATTTCATTTCATTTATTTTTTTTTAATTTTTAACATTTTTTTTATATTGTTTCTTAAAAATTGCTTAGATATTGACTTAATTATATTATATAAAAAAATTACATTTTTTTAAGCCTAATATAGTTATATAAATACAGTAAGAATTATCAAACAAATGTAAATCTAAAAGAAAAATTAAAATATAAATGATTAAAAATATTGCTTCTACCTTTGACATATTATAATCTATATATATTTTGTAAATATTTGAATAATAAATATTATATTAAATTATAATAAATTATAATAAAATAAAATTTTATATATAAATAATAATAATTTAAATATATTTAATGAAGTTTTGTAATATATATATTTTATATTTATTTTAATGTAATATTATAACAATAATATTTGACGTATTATTATAATTAAAATAAAAATGTAATAAAAAAATCTATAATTAATTTTCTAGAAGTAATATATATAAAAATATTAGAAAAAATAGGTGAAGATATATATTAAATTTCAATTAGCAAAAGATCAAAAATTATTAAACAATATAAAAATTAAATGAGAAAAAAAATTAATTTAAGGACATAAAAAGAAAAATACAAAAACCAAATTTTAAATTAAAAAATTATATTTAAGAAGAGCTAATAACTTATTAAAAATAACAATAGGTTCAATTTTTTATGAAATAAGAGTAATATTTATAATTTATGAAAAAAAACTAAATGCAGTTTGAATTAAAATAAACTATATTTCTTATTTTTTAACAAAAATATAACAAAAAAAATGTTATTTAATAAAAGAAAAAATATTTTAAATAATGTATTAATAAATATTTTAAAAGACTATGTTTTATAAAAATTAATTTTTAATTTTATAATATTCAATATTTTACAAAATATCTTTTTAATTAATTTTTTTTGAATTATTATTGAAATTTTACTTCTAATTTATAATTAATATATTAAATTATTTTTAAAAATCTTATAAATCATACACATACATATTAATTTTTTTCAAAAATAAATAATTATTATATTTAAGATATTTTTCAAATCAAGAAAATAAATTTAAATTTAATAATTTATTTATTTACAAATAAAAAATAATGTATTTTATTTTAAATATTATTTTTATATTAAATAAACAAAATTGCATTATATACAAAAATTAAATAAATTTCTATAAAGTTAATATATAGTTCTCATTTATATGTATTTAATATTAATATATTAAAAAAAAAAATATTCAATATATAAATATATTATTTTATTTTATTTTTGGTTATGATCCATAAATTACAAAAAAATTTAAATGCTAAATAAAATATTTTTATTTTAATTTAAATAAAAAAGTTAAAATAAAATAAAAACTATGAATTTTTTAAATAAAAATATTAATAATAAATTAAATTAATATCTAATTAATATATATGTATAATAGAATTATATTAATGTTATGAAGACTAAAAATGAAAATTAAAAACATACAATAAAACAAAATATAAAATTTGAAAAAAAATATCTAAAAAATTCTTGATTGAATATTTTAACTTTTAAAATTTAAATTAATAAAAAAAATCAATTAATAGACTTGAGATAAATTCGAATCAATATAATCCTGAATTAATAATATTTGAAATAAATCAAAAAGTATCCAGACATATTGTGAATAAAAAAAAATATATTCAAAAATTAAATATATAAACATAAGTACTAAGGTTAAATAGGTAAGAGTAATTAATAAAAGCCTTTTCATTAATTTGAAATTACTAAAAAAAAAACTAGTTAATTAAATTATAAATAAAAAGTAAATCATATAGAATAAAAATAAAAAAATAAATAAAAATATAATATATAAAATAAATAAGAAAAAAAAAATATATATATTTATATATATTTTTATTTTTACATATATTTATTTATGTATATATTTTTTATTAATAAATTAAAATTTTTATTATATAATCATTCTAATTTTCTATTTAATTTATTTATCTTTAAATTAATTTACTTTTTATATATTATATATCATATTTTTCATTTTTTATTATCTTTTTTATTTATTTTAATTTCCTATAATATTATGTTTTTGTTTTACTTTTATTTCTTATTTATAAGCCTCTAATATTAATTTTAAATATTATTTATACCTTTAAATAATATTTTATAATCTAAAAAATTAGTATTTAAACCGATATATATCTTCTAATAATTATTAATAATAAAAATTTAATTTAATAAAAATAAATCTATATTTAAAATTATTTAAAAAGTAATTTTTTATTTTTTTCTGAATAATCAATAATATCATTAGCAATAGGTATAAAATGTTATTATAAAAATCCTATAATATAAAATTATTATTATTAATATTTTTTTAATAAACAGATTTAAATATAAAATAAATTCATTAAAATAAATTTTAAAGTTATGAAATATTGAATATATAATTTTATGTTTATATTCTTATTTAGCTCCTTACTTTTAATTAATTAATTTTATCAAATATTTATTATACTCAACAAATAAATTAGTGTTTTATTTTATAATTAAAAATTAACTATATTTATATTAAAATATCATATTTGTTATAACTCATTTTTTTATTTTCATTTAAATATATTATAAAATTCTATTGATTGATATTTTTTTATTTAATTTTTTGCTTTCGTTAAATTTAAATATTTTTAGATGAATATTTAGATAAATTATATTTTTTTAAATTTATTTGATATAATAAATATTATGGCGTTTTTCTTGATTTTGATTCATTTTTTTTTAAATAAATACAGAAAAAATAAATAAAAAAATGTTGAAAATTAAACATTATATAACCATTTTGTAAATCTTTCTCAATCTAATATGCTCTATTGAAATAAATAATATAAAAATTAAACATATAAGCTCTTAATTTTGTAAGTTCGATACTTAATGTTATGTATATTAAACAATAATTGTAAATATAATAACAATTGTATATTTATATTTGAAATTTTAAATAAAATATAAGTTTAAAATAAAGAAAATTTTTAACTTTATAGAAATATCTCTTATTATGAAAAGATAGTTTAAGCACTGCGATTCCATATATAATATTGAAAGATAAAGATTAATAATATATACTAAATTTATAATTATTTTATAATGTTTTTTGTTTATATCTTTTTTAAGATATTTTTATATTTTTTTTTATTTAAATTATTTAAAAAAAATTAACCAGAAATATAATTTTTACTCTTAAAGTTTTCACATTTCTATTAAAAATATAGAAGCAAATATATTATATACTTAAATATATATAAACTAATAAATATAACTATTTTTTTTATTTTAATTTTTTACTAGGACTATTAGATTTCTATTTCAACAATTTAAAATTTAATCAATTAAATTTTCGTAAAAACTTATTACTAAAATGATTAATTTTTTTTGTTTACTCTTTATTAAGAATTATATTAGATTCTCGAGTTTACATTCTTATTTTTTTAGCATTAATTAAATTTTGCTAATAATTTTATGGCAAGCTATTAAAGTTTTTTAATGTATTCAACATTTTCATTATTATTATAATTTTAACTAAGTAAAGTGTATTTATATAAAAAAGAATAAATAAAAATACTTTGTTTTTAATTTTTTCTTAATCTTTAATTATATTTATAATATAATTTTTTTTATAAATTCAAATGCTTCTCCGAATTTACTTAATAAAAATTTATTTTTAGAAATAAAATACTAATTGTTTTGTTTATTAAAAATCTATTTATTTAAAATAAAATCTAAATATAAATCAATCTTTTTTCAAGTATTTTATCAAACATATACATATTATCTTAAAATATTACATACTCTTAATATATTTTTATTATTAAACCTAAATCAGGTTTTTTATAATATCTATATATAAATCATAAGCATTTAATTTAAAAAAAATGTATATATTTTTATTTTTAAGTAATTTGAAATTTTTCTAATTTTTTTATATTAATTTTTTATTTTTCTTCTTCTCAAACTTTTTTTCTTCACTATTTCATCATAATTCAAATATTAGAGTTATTTTATTTTTTACAAGTTTTTTTTCTTTTAATTTTAAATAAAGTTAAAAATTTTATCTATATACTTAAAGAGTATTTTCGATTTTAATTATCCAATATGAATATTTACAATTTTTTATTTAAAATTTATTAAAAATTATTTAAAAATATAAAACTTATACATATTATTATAAACGTTATTATATTAATATATCTGCTATATCATCTAAAAAGCTGTTAGTTTATCATATTTTTAATTTAATTATATACATATTAATTAGGTTAATTACTCATAAAACTTTAAAAAAATTAAGCTTTATATATTTAAAATATATATAAGTTCATAATTTTTGTTTTATCAATCATATATAAGACAAACTTAAATATTTATCAAATAATTTTTATATATATATTTTATTATATGTATTTTTATATTAGTATTTATATATAAAATAAAAAATATTTATAATTATATTTTCGAATAAAAAAAAAATTATATATAAAATTAATATATTATATTGTTATTTTATTTTTATATAAATTTTACATAATCTAATAAGATTATAAGCATATTAAATAGCTTTAATTTCCAATTATAAAAATTTTAGCTATCTTTTTTATTAATAACAGAATTAATTATTATTATTATTACATAATCTTAGTAAATATAAAAAATATATTATTTTCGTTATTTTCTGTTTATGAATAATTTGTCATATTATTTATTTTGTAAATAAATTATAATTTATTTTAATCATCTTACCTTTAAATATTTTTAATACATAGATAAAATCTTATATAAAAAAATTATTATTAATATTTTTAAAGATTATAATTATACCATTAAAATAATACTAAATTTATATTATAAACGAAAAAATTAAAAATAAATACGTAAATCTTTTGACAAAAATATTCATTAATTTTTTTTTAATTTTATTATATAAAAAATTTGTTTATAATTTTTTAAAAATAAAATATTAGTTTAAAAATAATAAGAATATTATCAACATATTAATAATTAATATTTTAATATTAGAATATATTTTATATTTAAAAATAAAAAATAGATATAAGTATTATAAAATTATATTAATATTTTTAATTAATTTATAATTATTATAATTATTATAATTATTATTATTATTATTATTATTTTTATTATTAGTATTTTTATTATTATTATAATTATTATATATAATTTTAAAATTTAACCAATACAATATTTTCAATTTTTTTTTTTATTTTTATTATATTTTTATACTTATCATATAATCATTTATTATTATTTTTATTACTTTTTTTTTTTTTTTGTGAATTATTTTATTATTATGTAGGTATTTATATATTCTTTTATATTTTATATACATATTTTTTTTTTTTACATTATTATAATTAAGTTTAATTATATAAATTGATTAATTTTTTTAAATATTTTAAAAAATTTATTTTATAATTTTAGGCATAAATTACAAAAAAATTATATTATATTTTTATATTAATTTTATTCAAAATTTATATTTTAAGAATTTTAATTAAAAAAAATAAGTATAATATTTATTTTAAATTGATTTATTTATTAAAAGTCATATTCTTACTTTTAATTTTGTTAATAAGAATTAGTTTATAATATATCTGAGTAAAATATAATAAATAATCATAAATTATTAAATAACTAATAAATTAAAATAAATAATTATTTAATTAAAATTATTAAAATATTAATAATTTTTATAATAATAATTCAATAAAAATACATATTTTTGTTTAGAAAAGATAATCTTATTTAAAATAAATTAATATTTCTTTATTTAAATAAAAAAAATACTATATATTAAATATTTAAATTAATATTTGTTTTTTAAATTAAATAAAATAAATAAAATTAAAAATTATATATTTATATAAAATAAATAATTAATTTAAAAATATATATATATTTATATATATATATATTTATATATATAATTAAAAAGAAATATATTTTCTAAAATATTTTTTTATCTTTTTAAAAATTATTAAATAATTTAATAAAAATTTTAATTTAATAGTAAGAAACATTGAAATACGTATAAATAGTTTATAAATTTATATTTCATAAAG